TACTCATGCTCTTGTCACCTCCCGCTTGGACTACTGTAACGCTCTCTACATGGGGCTCCCCTTGAGGAGCNGGACTGGCCTAGGGACATTTTAAATTGGTTTTTAATTAATTTTAAAATATGAATAGGCCTATTGAATATATCTTTTAATTGATTTTAAATTTTGTAGATTTGTATCGATTGTTCTGTTTTTAATTGGCTGTAAGCCGCCCTGAGTCCACTAGGAGAAGGGCGGGATATAAATGCAATAAACTTGAACTTGAACTTGAACCCGCATGGTGTAAAGTGACATTATCCCTCTGTTCATGCAGACTAGGACTACATTGACTTTTTTTTTTTTTTTTGGCAGCTGAAGCACACTCTTGTCTTATGGACACGTAGATTCCTCTATTGAGCCAGCTATTACCTATTTTATCTCTGTACCTTTGGTTTTTCCTGCCTAAATATAGACATTATTTTCCTCATCATCTATCAGGATCCCTTTCGATCTTGAGCCTATCTATTTATGAAGATGTCGAAGTGTACTGGGCCCAAGACCGAACCTTGAGGTACCCCACTGCATGCTTCTCTCCATGTAGATGTAGTTCCATTGAGGAATACCTGCTGAGTGTGGTTGGTCAGTCAATTGCGAATTCACCTAGGGCTGGTTCTGTCTATCCCATGTTGTTCTATCTTACAAAAAAGTTAACTTGTGCTCTACCTGGTCAAATGTCTTGCTGACGTCCAAGAATACTATCTCCAAAACATTTTGCAAATCCACTAATTAAGTTACTTCATCAAAAATGGCAATAACGTTTGTCTGGCATCACATTCTTAACAAACCCATTCTGGCTTGTTACAGCTGTCCATCATTTCTTCTTTTAAAAGAAGAAATAAAATCAGGGGGGACAGGACCCAGAAGAACCAAGAGGGGTCACAGGCACCTTCAAATGCCCAGAGTGCCACACTCAGGACCAGCTTTCAGACTGAGCAGCCGACATATTCTTAAGTTAAAGGAATTCATTCCCGGTTTTTTTCAAACATTTGTGTCTACTCATTGTTGCCATCCACGGGGACCTGAACTTCCATGATGTCTGTCGAATCTGGTTCAGAATTTGGAGAATCATCATGGAAATCAGAGAGATCCTCTATGAGTCTTTGATTTTCAAACACTACAAACCAACTGGGAAAACAAATGGCTGTTTTAGAGGGAAACCATAGCTTAGTTGTCCGGTTTCAAATGTCCTAATTTCCCTCTGTCAGACTGGCAGTGATGGAGAAGACAATCGCTGAATCTGAGAAGGATGCCAATCAAAGCATATCCAGTTAGGCATTCTAATTTTTAAACTGTGCCTAATGAATTGCTGTATTTTCATAGAATTTAGGACTAGGGCAGATAGCAATGCAACAATAAATTAAGAGGCAGAAGCCTAACTGCAGCTCACGTCATCAGAGGCAGAGAGTGGTGGGACTGATGTATGATTGAAACCGACATTTTAAATTTATAAATGAGGAGGGAAGGGAAACTGAGTAAAACAGATTACTTAGAGATGCAGATTGCACACGAGACAGATTACAAGTTAACAATTGTATGTGTTAGAAACCCACTGTATGTATCACTGAGCAAGAGTTGGGTAATGAGCTTTACATTATCTTTTTATTATTAAATCCATTCATTATTAAACTTAATCACTGCCCATCTTGCCGTTTGAGGCAATTCTGAGCGACTTCCCTCGACCTAATGTCCATAGCAACACTGAAAATTCCCATTTTCCCCCCCTTATCAACAATGAAACCTTTTAAACTGTACATTTTTTTCCTCATGTTAAGTAGCAAAACAGAGAGGTTTGTCTCTCTTCTGTGTGACAGTATGGCCAAATGGCAGCCACTTCCACAAGTCCACCACATGGCCCAGGGGCGAAGCCAGGGCCCACTGAAAATAACGGCTGCTTCCGGGACACAGTCCCAAGGGCCAGGGATGCACGCCCTCCCCTCCTTCCCCAACATGAGATCAGAAACCTTAAAAAGAAAGAGGAGGGTGTGAGGCGTGCAGGGACCCAGTGGGAGGGAGAAAAAGCCTGTGGAGACCCTGGGGTGGGAAAGAATTGGGCGGCCCAAGGGTTGGGAAACAGAGCACAGGGTGGGGGAGGCCTAGAGATGAGTACAACAGGCAAACCTGGGCCTGCACTAGGCCTCCAAGAGTTTTCCCCAACCCTGAGGTAGCCAGTGTTCCACTTAGCAACTGACACAATTAATGGCTGCATCAGAGAGATCAGGGTAGTTTAGGAAGGTAGTCTCACTTAATGGCCGTTGCAACAGGCAACCATAACTGCAAGGCCCATGACAGTTATAACTTGAGGACCTTTTCTACGCTGGCTGAGGAATTCTGGGCTTCAAACACTGCAGGAAACCAAGGCAGAAGACCTGAAACTCCTCATGTGGGAATTATATTATCAATATACAAAACAACCACCCAGAAGCCTTTTTGAGGAAATCCATAACTTCTACAAAAGGAAATATCCAGTAGCTGCTGCTGCTAACCAGAAATTGGTAGTTAGCCCTTTTCCATTTTCCTTTTCTCTCCACCTAGAAGTCTAGTCCTGAGACATGTTTGAGTAAAAAGATTCAGACCACAATTCAAATAGTCAATTTCCCAACTACAGTTTCAATGGGAGATCACAAATGAATTTCAAGCCTT